GAAATGAGTGGAGTAAGAGAAGAAAACACAAGACTGAAAAACCTTCTCCAGCAAGTGGAGAAGGATTACAAAGCTCTACAAGTTCAGTTCATGGACATGTCTCGAAAAGAATATTCCGATAAATACCGAAGTTTGACTTTTCCGGTCAACGGCTCGTCAAATGCCGATTATGATGACGATCGGGACCAAGAATTAGTATCCCTTAGCCTCGGAACGAATATTCCTGCCAAAACCAAGAAAGAAAACGTTCTACCCAAGCCCACGTGTGAAAAAGACTCGACCGAGCTTGGGCTGGGCTGCAGCTCGGAAAGCTCAAAGACCGACGATGGGCCCACGAGCCCGTGTAAAGTCCCAGGCCCGAAAACGAGTAGAGATGATGAAATTTGCCAGACAAGTGTGAAGAGAGCAAGGGTTTGTGTGAGAGCCAGATGTGAAACACCAACAGTAAGCATAAATTTTTCCATATATTTTTTCTTTTTATAATCAGATATACAAATTGATAGGTAGAATTAGAATTAGTTATTAAATGGGGATTTATGATGTTTATTTACAGATGAATGATGGTTGCCAGTGGAGAAAATATGGACAGAAAACAGCCAAAGGAAATCCATGTCCAAGGGCTTATTATAGGTGCACAGTTTCTCCAACATGCCCGGTTAGAAAACAGGTAAAGAACTTTGTCTAACATTTACGTATGAATCCTTAAACTTTCCAAATATTCTCAGCTATACATAAAACATATTATGATTTCATTTCTCGGAGATGCATAAAGGCTATGTTTGATAAAATTAGCTGATAAGCTAGCCTGTAGCTTATAAGTGATTTTCGAGCTTATAGCTGAAAAGCTTATGACTTTTAACATATATGACTTATAACTGAAAAGTTAGTTTATATGTTAAAAGTCTTCGGTAAAATTAGCTGAAATAAAAATTTCAACGAGTTTACTTGAAAAGCTACCCAAAGAAACTTATGAGATACGCTCAAGCTATTCAAAAAAGCTCGTCCAATTTAAAAAAGTTCATCCTACCAAACAAATCTTATTTGCATATAGGAAGCTTATAAGCTACCAAATAAGGTTACCAAACATAGCAAAAGCTTAGAACTTTAGTCTTCATCATGAAGAAGTAGTTCACTTAAACTCAAATTAGCAATCTTGGGTTAATTTTCTCTGAACTAACTAAAAGTAGCAATCAGTCAAACTTACATTTCTTCATAAAACAGTTTCGATCAAAGTTTAGAACTTTAGGCTTCATCATGAAGTAGTCACTTAAACTCAAAGCAATCTTGGGTTAAGTTCCCTTAACTAATAAAAGGAGCAATCAATCAAACATCAAACTTACATATGTTCATAAAAAAGTTTCGACTTACCCATAAATTTATTCTTCAGGTGCAACGATGCATGGCCGACATGTCGATCTTGATTACCACCTACGAAGGCACGCACGACCACCCGATTCCGATCTCCGGCACCGCCATGGCCTCCACCACCTCTGCCGCCGCCTCCATGCTCCTCTCCGGCCCCACTGCCTCTCCTCCCCTCAATCCTTACGGCCCGCCACCTGTGCCTCCGTATTCCACCGTGACCCTCGATCTCACCACCGAGCCTGCCGCCACACGTGGTGGCTTCAGCCTCCATTCTCCACCAACCTCTCAGCAAAACCCTGGTTTTCCGGCGACTGGCCTGAGCTTTTCTCCGGTGGAACCCAACATGGGTTCCTCAGTTTGGGGCGTGAGTGGCGGCGGGTTTTCTTTTGATCTTCCCGGAAAATCTGCACACGAGCAAAAGTATGTTTCTTACTTGGAAAAGCTGAGCCACGCTTCATCACAGCAGGCTCTAACGGAAACGCTGACGAGGGCAATTTCGTCCGACCCGAGTTTCCAGTCAGTTTTAGCAGCTGTGGTCTCAACAATGGCTGCTAAAGGAGGTGAGGGGGAGAAGTGATCAAATGGCAATGACGTGAAAGCGAAAAGCAGAAAAATCTCTGCCTGAGGGCGAAAAAATTGTTTTGTGTGTTAGAATTTCATTTTGAATTGAGATGAATTAAGACCATGTGCTGATAATAAACACCAAATGTATTCAATTCCAGGGTAAAAGAATACTGGAATGTATATTTGGGGTGAGCCTATCAGCATCTAAATGAAATTACTGTGTGAAATAACTTCACCATTATGTGAAATGAATTGTTTATGACAAAAAGAACACAAAGAATCTCACAGTTCTTTTCTATGCTGATAACAACTTTTAGCCTCGCAAGATAAAAAAATTTTCATCAACCCTTGAGTATTTCATGGGATGCCTCTTGTGGTATGTTCAAAGAGCTAACACATTTCATGTGCTTCTTTCCCGACTTTTGTATTTCGTTTGCGTGCGAGGTTCATACGGTTCCTGTTATTATAAAATATACACTTAAATACGTCGACAAATGAGAGGCTGAATAAGGGTCAAGCCCTTATTGAGCCTGAAAATTACAGGTTCCTCGTTTCCGATCCTAGCTAAGAAGGAGAAATCGGGACAGAAAATCGAAGCTACTTTCATTGAGAGGTTCTTCTCCATCAAAATGATCAATTTCGTTTTCAAATTTTTGATCCCAAATATGGGGTGCTTGTGTGACAACATATGATTGTTTGACGGTTGTGCGACAACATATAATTAGCACACTGCTTCGATTGTGATAAGGATACAACATACCTTACCAAAGTAAATTCTTGTCGACAAGGTTGATCAGTACATTCTTCAAGGTTATGCCGCCCCGTTTTCTCTCCACCTATGACAGACAAATACTTCAAATAACCATCAACAAAAAAAAGCTCATTTTCAGTTCCGAAGCTAGATAAGAAAACGAAACCATTGTTGTTAATCTTGAAAACTAGGTGAAAACAAAAAACACCTGCAATTTGTCCAAATAATCAGGCTGTCCATAGCCTTCCCTAGCAGTTCCAAGGAGCTGCAAAAAGCTTGTCCAATCTAATGTAATTGTGTTATGATTGCTGGAAAATGGACTGTAAGAAGTTCTATGTGATCTTGGTGTTCTTTATGCTCTGTTGTATGTATGAAGACATTTTGTGGGAAGCTCAGAGCAGTGAAGGTTTAAATTAGGGTTTTTGTTTGGGAATTTGGGTGAAAATTGTTTCACGTATTAACACGTTTTTTTCGGACGAACACTCTCGAAATTGGGATAAGTCGCTACTCTATTGATTAGATATTGGGTGATTCTACACTTCCGTTACAAAACTATTTTGTCGGAGTTTGTAAACCGTTAGATTAACTATCTCTGACGGTTACATAATGATCTAATGGTTACAAATCCCGACGAAATAGTTCCACGGTGACGAAGTTTGTTAATGAGTTATGATTTTGTAAATAGTGACCAATGTAGTTTAGATTTTTATTATCTATGTTTAATTAAGTTCTATATTTAATGTGAGATAATTGATATATTATTCAATTTACATATGATATATACAACCAAATGCTTTTTTAAAATATCCAATACTATATAATTAGGCAACCCACTTACTAAAATTAGTAAGTGTTTTAGTGGATCCCTCATTATATTATTATTTATGAAAGTTAGTTTCAATTTTTTATTATTTTATTAGACGTGTTTCAACCTCCATTAATTATTTTTTTTTTCATTTTTAATAATAAGTTAATAGTAAAAGTGGACCTAAATTTGTTATTACAATTTATAGATAGACATTTTAAAATGTTTTGTCTGTTTTGATTTCTCATTAATATAAAAGTAAATTTCTTTTTACATGTACATGATATGTTGAATCACGGTGAATTATGATGTATGTTAAATAATAATTTATATTTAAAATCTTCCTAAAAATAAGAAGATACTAGATAATAACATGGTACTTATTTAAATAAAAGAATGGTTCACAAATAAAGAAATTGTAAGTATATGTATAGAAAATAATAGTTAATAAATAAGATTACATTATGAATTATAAAACCAGACAAGTAAGAAATAATATATTCAAGTGTCAAAATACGATTTAAATTACATGATAAATTCAAACAAACTATAATAAAATGTGTTAAGATAATAAAATAAATTGAGAAAATTCTTATACCCCAACTATATATATTTGCGCATTTAGTACATGATGTTCCAATTAAATCAATTTAATTACTCAATTTTTTGTTTATCAATAGATTTTGGTCCACATCGTTAGATTTCATAAAAAAATAATAACGGTTTTAGAAAGAAATTCATTAATACTATGTCAATTTGTTCTATTAATAAAAAAAACTAAATAATATATATTTATATATATATTTATAGAAATCTACTTTTAGGCTTTTAATTATGAACGTTACATTGTTGCTTCTCAAGTTACAAATAAAAAGACACAAGATACTGATATGTATTGAACTTTACATTGTTGCTTCTCGAGTTACAAATAAAAAGACACAAGATATTGATATATAATGAGAAATAAAATATACAGATATAAACATTGTATATAGTAGTCTATTTTAATTGTATATAAAAATTATTTATTCTATTTATGTTTCCTTATTTCATTTATTTTTAATAGTTACGTATATTTGCACGGGCCACGATCTAGTTTCTTTATAATTACTAGCAAAGCAACTAATAAAATTTCAATAGTTTTCTCTCCAAAGTACGTTAAACTCCTTTTTTTTTCTGTAATCTTTAAAGATGGACAAAGAATTTAATGTAAAAAAAAGTATATTGTTCACAATCTTTTTTAGGGAAATTATGACAAAAACTATTACATTTTGTATTAATCAAATGATAATTATAATTATTTTTAACTATTCCACTATATAATATTTATTACTAGAACGAACTAAGTATATTTTACACTAAATAATATATGAAAGTTACAAAAACATAAGAAATCATATAATGTTATAATTTTATTTCACATTTATTGTTATTTTTTAAGTAAACTAATTGGTGTTAATGATATAGCCAAACTACTTATAATAATAAATTTAATATTTTTTTCAACTGATTAATTAGTCATGATCTTTCAAAAAATTATAAAAATTACATTATTTATTACATTATATCCAATTCATATAGTGCTTCATATGCAGTTAAATAATTTTTTACTGTTTGTTTTTACTAATGTTCAAATTTGTAAAATATATCATTATTTAACTTATAATTTTAATATTATATACAATTTTACCGTATAATACTTTAGTTACATCTGTACGTATGCAAAAATCAAGTTCTACTAATCTTTAACGAAACCCGAATTAGTTTGTTACACCTAACCAAAATGGAACGGACTATGAAAAAATGAGGCCCATAACAGCAACCATAGTTGGGCCATGGGTAAGAAAGGCCCTACAGCTTGTTACACACACCTGCCAAAAAGCCCCATCAATATTCAACGCCAGTTGTCAAACTTATGAGATATGGTGACATTAACAAAGTTATGCTCAACTTTATTATTATTATTATTATTATTATTATTATTATTATTATTTTTTTTTTTCTTTTTTGAGTTAGAATGTCCTTTTCATATTACTCTTGCACTTAATGTATCGCACTGTACAATGCATTGATAATAAATAGAAAAAACACTGCAATAATTAGGAAAATAGATAATATTCATATACTCACATGAGTGTGATCTATGATGATGATGATAATAACTCCAGGGTAACAGTATAAAATGAAATGAGTCTGTATATGAGTCCGACTCGACTCGCCTCATTAAATTTCGAGTTCGGCTTAACTCATTTTATGAACAAGCTGAGCTAGAACTAAATAAAAACTCATTTAGTTAACGAGTTTGTTCGTTAATGCTCAAGAATATATTTTTAATATAGTTTTATATATTTCAGATTGTTAAGCTCGAGCTCGATTCATTAATATTGATAAACGAGTCAAACTCAAGCTCAAATTATGGCTCGTTTAGTAACGAGCTGAGCTTAACTCGGCTAGTTAAAGACTCGAGCTCGGCTCGTACACAGCCCTACACCGGTATGTACTGCACAAAACTATAGCAGAAGGTTTAATTTAACGTTGTGAAACTATGATATCCAACGATAGTAATTTCGGTGTGTGTAATATGTGCAACTAGAGTTCACAAACAAAACGAGCCACTTGTTAGCTCAGCTCGACTCCTTAAAATTCAAGTTCGACTCTTCTTTATAAGATTTGTCGAGGAACGAAAATATAACTTTTTATATTTGTGCTCGTTATCTCAAACTCAACCAATAGTATTGATAAATGAGCTGAATTCGAGCTTAAGACTGGCTCATTAAGTTAACCAAACAAGACAAACTCGACTCGACTCGACTACATATATGGTCGAATATAATTTTCCGTAGTAATAACGGGACAAACATGGAAAACTCTTGAATGCAATAATTATGTGTTAAAATTTATCAAGAGTTTACTCAAAATGATTTTCCATTGACTAATATTCGAAACTACACTGCCCGAATATGATTTCTATTTTTTTTTTTTTTCTTTTTTTTGTCGGTTTTACTACATTAGTTAAAAGAGGAACATCAATAGCAAGATATCTCTATAGGTGGTCCAATTTTGTTTCACATTTGATTTTGAAAAGGCCCACAAAAATTGAACACATGTGCCAAAAAAAACTAACAGATATCATTTTAACTTGATGCAAACATTTCAACTAAATCACCATACCAAATTGTATCACAAAAGTTGCTGTCATTTGTAAGTAATACGGTCAAGGGGTAAAAAAAAAAAAAAATTGACTCAATACACATAATATTAATTATACATTCATGTTAAGTTTCATTAAATAATAATTTTAATGTAAAAAATATTCATTTTTTTGTATATATATTTTATAAGGGTAATTGACCTATTTCAATGGATGCTTCATGTTCTCCATCTCAACTTATGTGCAAACTCGAAGAAAGAATACTAATAGGGATGTGTTTTTTTTTTTAGTCAACCACAATATCCGGAGTTATGCCTCGACTAATCTATTGGTCGACCGGGTCGCACACTTTGCTGCATCCACAAGGATTCGAACCCAAGATACTACTTAAGCAGCATCAAGCTGCTTACCAAACCCTGTTAGTCTAATATGGATGGTTTTAATCACAACTATTTTGTTATTATCTGTGAATAATTAAATTAAAAAATGAATAAAATGAAATTGGATTGAATAAATGTAAAGAACTATTGAATTAGGTCTCACATTTTAGACATGAACTATTGAATTATAATTAGAAAAACTTGAGCCTCACTGTTTTTAATTTTTTTT